CCTGGAATGATGTCTGCCACATGGTTAGAACTATGGCCTATGATTCCTCAAGCCACACTGTAAATCCTCCTATGGCCACTCAAGTTCCATGGAGGTACCAAGTCTGCTCTCCGGTTTCTTCTACCATGCCTAGGCCTGTAGCCCATTTTCTTGGGATTCTGCAGAGAAGAGAAGAAAACTGGGAAACATCTCCAAAGAGCAGGTCTCTGGACCCCATCTCTGAGCCTGATTATGTAGGTCAGAGACATGGCCTAGGAACACAAGCTCCACATGTGCCCTATAGGAAAACCTGTTGTGAAAAATTAGAAGTAGGCTGCTTTTTTGAAGAACAATGATGGAATTCCTGAGTATCGTCTCAAGTATAGCTGCATGAGGCAGTATTTCTTTGGTACTTAAAAAAAAAAGAAAAATTATTATTGGATTCCTAGTATTCCAAGAAGGGCTAAATATCTGTCTTAAGGCTGTGTCCAACTCACCAAGTTCTTGCATCTACCTTTGTATAAACAGCAGATATAACATTTTTATGAGAGTATATTATTCAGGAATGAGTAACTCCAGCTTCAAAAAGACTTCTTATTGTCTGTCTTTCCTTAAACCACTAAAATTCCTTTGGGGGTTGAAATGCCTCATTTTCTTTGCATCACTTTTGCCTAATTATTGAAATTTTTACTGCACCATGAAATATAACTGAGAGAGTCATTAAATAACATAAGCTTCAGAATAAAGAAGCTCAAGATTTCCATATACTACAGAATGCTTAATGATCACCCACCTTCCTTCTTATAACTGGCATAGCTGTGGTAATAAAATACCATTACAAGATGTGTGTTTTGAAAATAAACTTGTCCCAGCTCAAAAAAAAAAAAGAAATAGAAATACCATATGACTATTCCACTCACTCCTGGATACATATATCCAAAGGAAGTGAGCATAAAAATAGGCACATGCATGCCCATGTCCATCATGGCAGTATTCACAGCAGCCAAGACATAGAATCAGCCTAGGTACCCGTCAACAGATGAGTGGATAAGGAAAACTTGCCACATAAACATGAAGCAATGTTATTCCTCCATAAAGAAAAAAATACTGTCATTTGCAGTAAAATGGATGAAACTGAAGAACATCCTGTTAAGTGAAATAATTCAGGCACAGAAAAACAAGTATTGCATGTTATTTTTCATATGTGATGATTTACAGGAAATAAAGATGACCTCAAAGTGGAAGAGAGGGTAGAAATTTGGGTAGACAGATTCAAAGTACGATATCCTTACATGACAGTGCTCCATTGAACCCCATTAAATTTGTGTGATTAATCTGCATAAAACACTATAATTGAAAAATATTTTTAAGGAAATAAATTAGAAATTTTTAAACAACTGAGAGAATCCAAGAACAATATCTAAGATTAAAAAAATATATATATGGGCCACCAATTTATTGGAACAAAAGCTGAGTTAAGAGGGTAGAAAAGGCATCAGGCTATGGCAGTCTTCCCTGGGTATAGGGAGCAGGACCGCAGCCACAGCACCTGTCTAACCCAATCCCAGTGCCACACAGGCTACTCTGGCCACTCATATGTGACTCCTCATAGGAGCTGTGGGAGGGAAATCCTTTCCTCTGAGAACAGAGCTGGATTCAGCAGCAGAAGCCCTGCCCCAAGTTCTAGTCCCTCCATTCACCAGGGAGGAAGACCCAGCCTTTTCCTGTATCCCACCAATGAAAACAAGAGCTTAGGGAGAACCCTTGACCTTGGAAGCGACTCCAAGCAAATCCTGCACAAGATGAGGAATGGGTCAATTGCACTCAGAGCTCAGCCCTTGAGGCCTGCATGCTTTGTGATGACTCTTTGATTCCCTCAGTTCTCAAGATCAAGAATGTTTTTATAGGAAGGAAAGGGATAGATGCAGATATTTGTAAAGAAAAAATTATTTGGTTATAGAATGAAAATGAAGGAGAAATTGAATTTTGTCTTGAAAAATTCCAAAATGTACAATTTGAAGAAGTTTATTTTGTAGGATGGGGAAAGACTTAAAACTATAAAAGACTAAAAACTAAAGACTAAAACAAAAAAAAAATCAAACTAATCTAAAAGTATTTTCTCCTACACCTTTCTCCTGGCATGCATTATAAGCATATTTAAGGAAATTGTTTAGACTTAAGCTGAGAGCCTTATTAACTGGATTTCTTAGTATTTCATTTGAAGTGGTATTTTCCATAATTATGATACATCTCTGTCCACAATATTTACATCTTTATGGCAGAATCAGGCTGTTATACTATCAACAGAAACATACACTTAAGTACATTTGAGGATATTAGTTTCCATAATACTAATTTCTAGCTGTATCCAAATCTGCGGTATGTCTAATTGCTATCCAAATGAAGTAATCATGAGGATTTCAAATACCAGTTTCACTACTTCCTAGCTGTGTGACTTGGGCACCTTACTTAATCTCTCTGTACCTCAGTTTCACCATCTGTAAAATAGGCTTTATGTGTAATTTTTTTTATTGAATGAATTCATATAGGAAAAGGATTCAGAACAGTACATGGCACATAGTAGGTACTCCCTAAGTGTTGTTCGCCACTTGTTTTGAAGTACATGAAAAAAAATAGAATTACGAAAGACCTATCAAGTTTTCTCATTTGAAGGTCTTTGCCAAGCCTTGTGTACAAGTATATTTTGAATGTCTCTCCCTAAGACAGGTGCTAGTACATCAGTGGCCAACCTGCAGTCTTGACTCCTTAGGGTGTTCAGTGGGTTTTCTTTTTCCAATTCTCTTGTCTTGCAAATGAGAAAACAGGTCCAAAGAGGTTATTTAACTGGAAGATGATTAATGGTCATTCCAGAACTAGGATCCAAATCTTCTGCAACTGTACTTCTTTCTCCCAGCAAATGAGGGGTGTCTTTGCTTGTTTAATGAGCTTGCTTATGAGATAAGGTCTCATAATCCTTATCTCATGAGATATTGTACACATATCATACCCTGTGCCTGACCCACAATGCGTTGGTGGTGGAGGCTGCCTTTCTGCTTCCTTTGTAGCTGAAGTCTGGGCTCAAGTCAAAATGTACCATGGTAAACAAGATCTAGCTGTATATTTCAGTATATGCCAGGCGAGGTTCCCCAGGATTGACTTGCTGTTCGGCTGAATGGCTCAAGTATGTGTGCCCAAGCCTCAGCATATAAGTGTGCATGAGCTAATTGAGTCGGGAGCTTTCAGGTTTCTGCTGCTGACTGGGTAGATACCACTCTAATAGTACTCACCACAGAAGAGCCCTGCCCTCCTGTGCACAGCCCCTCCCTGCTGATGTTCACCCCGAGCACAGAGGCATGGCTGAGAACACCCTCCTGGTCCTCTCTGCACAGTTCTAGCCCCGTGGAGGTTGGCATCTGTGATTAAGACGCTGCCTGGACCTGCTCCCGGCCCCACACACATGGCCTTGGTTACTCTGCACAGGTCATCTAAGCTCTTTAGGCTCTGCTTCTGCATTTGTGAGTGATTCCCTGTCTCATTAGAGTGTGGTGAGAACAAAAGCAAGTGTTTTGAGAACAGTCTGGCTAGGGAAACTTCTCAGTGACTCATTGAATTACATCCCCATTCTTAACCCAAAGGTGTCTGGTCATCAGAATTCCCAGTGGTGGCTGTTAAAAATAGATGAGCTGGACTACATCCCAGACTGCTTCCCAGAGACCCCGGAGAAGAGGCCGGAGGAGCTAGTCTTTTAATAAGTGGCCCAGGTGCCTGGTATTCAGAATGCACCACACAGCACCCCTTGCTGTCCCCACTACAACTGCTGACATTCCTGGGGGGACTGTTGAGTCCTTTAAGCAGACCAACACCCAGGCCCCAACACAGAGCTGTTTCCTTTCAAAGCTCTGCCATTGACAAAATGCTCAACCCTCTGTAGTTCACTCACCTTTCTCGGCTGTGAAGTGGAGCTGCACCTTAATATCTACCTACGTATCTCACAGGACTGTTGGGAGAATGCAGCGAGAACTCGTGGCCGAGTGATCTGCATGGTGCCCATAGAAAGGAGACTTGCTTTTCCACATCACCATGAACCATTTAATAATCTGTTCAGTAACCCTCTGTGGGTTGACTTGGGAATCTAATAATCCTTCTAACATGGTTTTGTGGCCAAATGCATTCAGATTTCAAAATAATTCATACAAAAATTTTAGAAATACAGTTTATTTCCCTTTTGTTTGAACTGCCTCTATTTAAAGTTTTGTTTAAAATGTTTTTCATATGAATATTAAACACAGTTGATTTGACTTTCTGGTCTATTTGGTCTCTATTTTAAGTTAATCTTGTTAAATGGAAAGTGTAGCATCTGAAATGATCTCTAAAGTGATTACACCATGAGAAATAATAATAGCTCTAATTCATGGAGCATTTCTATGTGCCAAACTCTGTGCTAGAGCAATACCTTTCATAACATCCTTATTAAATGTTAGTCCCTTTTGCTGAGGCTTAAAGGGACTAATTATCTTTGCAAGGGTCATTTAGCTCATAACAATAGTAGATAGAGGATTCAAACAGAATATCAGACCTCTAATTAGCCACCTTGCTTCGTGAGATCCCCAGGCACACACATAGATTGGATGTAAACACAGGGAACACAAGAGCAACAGCTGAATTCGGACAGAAGTATTATGGTTCATTTGTTCTTCCTTTAAAATAAAATGAATTTTTGGTGTAAAAATTACTATAAAAAATTGAAATGAAAAAAAATTGCACTAAAAATTCTACCTGGATTTTATGGCTGCATATAAGACATTTATTGTTGTAAGTTTGGGGTTTAGTTTTCATTCTTAAGGCTTCTTGCTCCCTTGTCTGTGTTAATAACAGATTATTAAAAGGTTTATATGCTTCTGAAAGTATCTTTTTTTTTTCCTATGGGTACTGTGAGAAGCATCTAGACCATATTCTCTCTGCCTTCTCCCAACAGTCCTAGGAGATATGTGGGATAGATATTAGGTTGCAGCTCCAGGGCTGGGGATGTAGCTCAGTGGTAGAGCACTTGCCTAGCCTGCACAAGGCTCTGGGTTCAAGTCCCAGCACCCCCCCCACACACACACACACAATGTAGCATGCAACTGTACCTCATAGCTGAGAAAAAAGTTTGGATAGCAAGAAATCCACTAGGAATGCCCCCTGCTCCTCACTGACTTAAAGAATATTTCTGTCCTCGGGGTGAGGAATATGCAATCTGAGCATGGCTTGGCCTTGCCAATAAGGCAGCCAGGAAGAGCAAACCCAGAACCTTCTGTCCATTCATCTCATGCCCGGTCCCAGCAGCTGCTCATAAACCAGGATAATTACATTAGATGCTTTACACACACTCCTACTAGGATGACATTGCTCAGCCACAGAGAACTCAACCTTGTTTGTCTCCCTGGGAAAGGGGGAGGGGACCTCCCCAGCCCATCACCTGCTTTAAGATGCACTTCTTTCCCACAAGTGATTTCTCTTCCTTTCTAATAGATATCCGCCAACGAAATCGAAATGCTTTTGATGAGGCTGCCACGCATGTTCAAGCAGGAATTCACGGGCGTGGGAGCAACACTGGAAAAGAGATGGAAGTTGTGTGCCTTTGAAGGAATTAAAACTACCTAACTGTGAAGAGCAGGGAATCTCGGGAATTGAAACCCACTGAACGTGGCCAGGGCTGTGCAGCGTGAGAGCCGGAGGGCCAGGCTGTCCAGCACGGACCTGTGCCGAGCCAGCAAAGCCTGACTTGAGTTCCATCTGTGGCGTTCTCTTGTGAGTGGAAATGTAATTGTGTACCAGTTCCTTAAACTAAACAAAGCTTCATACTGTGACAGATCTGTTTCCTCTGAAAACCAAACAATGATTCCACAATCATAATGATGGCAAAATCTTAAAATAGGCTACATTTGAGAATAGCTCACCAAGCAAAATATTTAAAGTTAATGATGGTGTATCGATGGTGGTTGCTAGGCTACAGAGTTGTGTATGTAATGTATAGATGAAATCATTAAATGACATTTTCCTGAAAGTCAATCTTCCTGTTTTAGTTTAAAAAAAAAAAAGAAGAAAAAAGTAATTTTGCAGTGAGAAAAAAAAATCATACCAAAAGAAAACTTGAATATGTGTCTGAACAGTTATTGTATTTTATAAATTAAGTTATATGCTATTCCAGGGACTTTTGCCTTATTGAAGAGGCAGAAACGATGATTGGACTCCTTGAGAATGCTTTATCAAGAATATTATTTTTCTAATGTAACAATTCTCCATCATAAGTTCTTTTAACATGGGCTGCTTAATAATTTTCATAAAATGTAAATAAAGGGAAAACTAGTGCTACTGTCTTGTACTTGGTATGTAACATTCAGGTTTATGCATCAAAATAAACATTCAGTAAATATTCCTGTTACAAATTTTATAGCAAAGATATTAATTTTTTTCAATAAATATGACTTCTACCATATTGGCTTGGCAAATTATTCTTTGATGTACTTCATTTATTCCTTAGGAAATCTTTTTTCTCATTGCTCAGTCCCAGCAAAAATCCTACTATTTCGAAATTATTAAATACATGAGTGACATTAGGAGACAAACATTATTTCAAATAGGAATATATAAAACTTGTAGTATGGACAGTATCAACAAAGGAGATTATATAGTATTAGAGTAGATACTATTTAAAATGCTAAAATGTAGCAAATATAATCAACATAAATTTTATCTTTTTGCCCTCATGGACACATAATAAAGTAGCCAGTTAATTTATTCAGTTTGGGGCTGATTTGTTCGTTTGCTAGAAAGCATATAAATTAGAAAATGAATTAAGGAATTCATACATGGATCAACAGTTTAGACAGAGTTTGAGCTTCCCCTGCTTCTTTTAATGATAAATAGGGTTACAGCTTTAAATTTTCTCCCTTGCTCTCTCACATAAAAAAAAAAAACACCAAAAAAAATAAGTATTCAAGATACTGATTGAAATGAAGGGGTTTTTTTAAGAAAGGCAGCTGAGTAGTGAATATTCTTTGAAATTATATGAAAAGATCCCCATAATTTCCTGTTGGACATTGTTATCCTCACATACTTTCTATTGAACCCTGAAAATTTAAGGTATTTATTCATAATTCCCACAAATATCTACATGGGATCAATATAAACATTTCATGGAGATGAATCAAGAAGAGATCCTTTCCCTAATGTGTTCAGAGTTCACTGGGAAAAGACATTTTACCAAAAGTTCCTCTAAGGTGAGATCCGAATGACAAGAAAGACATAACAGGGGTGCGCTGGGAGTCAGAGTAGATGCCAATATATTAAACACGGGACACCTTCTCCACCTTCCGTCAATGCCATCCTGACAGATTTCTCTCATCAGGAGACACAAACAAGGATGCAAAAGTCACAAAGCAGAAAAGACCATTCGTTGATAATGTCATTGTATAATTTTAAAAACTAAGAGGTCCACCTGAAAAACTGAAGAAAAAGGGGAGGGGATTCAGTAAAGTGACTAGTAATGATGACAAAGTTTATTAGGGGCAAAGAGAAGGCACCATAATCTAGGGTCTTTCTAACTGGATGTTTCTGAACCTGAATTCACCCTCTCAACTATTTCTGGGAGTCACTTCAGCAGTAAGACACAATGCAGAGTAAAACCCTAATACTCAGAGCTTTCAATAAACAGAGCCACTTGAAAGGTAAGGTAAGATTCCATCTACCAAAACGATAACATTTCTAAAACACATAGTTCTGAGCCCTAAATTGCAACTTGAAGGAATGAAATGGTTAATTCACCTTCCAAAAATATTTAATTCCTAGAGATTAGCTTCTAAACTAGGAGACTCCACTTTGTGATATATTTGTTTACACTTGAAATTACTTATATTACTTGTCTAGAAATATATTAGTCATATATTTTAAGTTTGACTATACGAATAACTTATTTTTGGAGGGAAAATATCTTCAAAATATTTTACAGACCCTCAGGCTTAGATGGGACTTTTAAATATCACCTGGGGAAGGTGCTCACACTACGGTAGGCCTGTAAGCTAAGCATGACTGTTACCCATCCTCTTTAGTCCTCTTGGTCACCCTCTGTGAAGACACTATAATAATCCCCATTTGCTACACGAGGAAAATAAGGTTTTGGAAGTTTTAATTAATTTAGTAATTTTTGAATCCAAGCTAATAATTTTTTAGTCCAAGATTGGAACCCAGGGCTGACTCCAAGACATATTCTTTTCACTAGTTACACTTTCTGGCTCAATCTATTCCCAACCCACCCCAGAGCCCACTCGGGGCCTTTGGATGACAACCTTTACTGTCTTTTCTGCTCTACCACCCCTTGTACGTGGGTACAAGGAGCAAAGGCTCCTGAGGCCTTTCCCTCCTAAATATAAACAATAACAAAGTAGGGCTCTTGGTTTCAAGAATGAGTAGAATATTGAAGACTTTAAGACTCTGTGGCCCTGAAGGACCCTTCACTTGCTTTTTCACAGCTTCCCTGAAGAAAGCGCATGTATTTTGCCTCCTGCTGTTATCCATCTTTCTATGTCCAAATAATCCAAATCACAGCCCTAAATAGGAAAACACAGAGGTCTCATCCCCCGTGGAGCTTCTCCTTGCCCCAGCAGAGATCATTTCTGCGACCTCTGCACAGTGGTCCCACACTGACTGCTTCCAAGGGTACCACCAGCTGCCCTCCCCTCATGCCCTACTAATCACAAAACTCTTTGAGGGATCCCAGCACATCCCGTTGACTCTGAATTATTTTTCAAAGTTGTTTTCCTCATAATTACTTGGGAAGTAGGACAGAGAATGCACTCAGATGTTTTTCTGCTCCCAGGAACCCTTTTGCTTACAGATACATAAGGGGAAAATATCACAAAATATTTGAAAAGGCTGCCGATATCTCAGATCCAAGGCAGAAAATGTGAGTGATCATGTACTGCATCTTATTGAAATACAAAATAAGCAGCCCAATTCTTATTCAAACTTTCAAACCCAGATCAGTTATCAACTCTCCTCTGGAGCCCCGATTCCTAATTTTCCTCTCCTGTGATCTCACTAGGGTTCACTGTTTCTCCTATAGCCTTTATAAGTATATTTTAGTCATTTGTGAATGTGGCTGTCTCTCTCAGGGCCCTGGGCAAGAGACCTCTCTAACTCATCACTCCGGTCCCTCAGAGTATGATATGATGTATCATTGCTTCCAAATAACTATTTATCAAATGATTGAGCCAAATGAATGAAAGAAAAGACTGCAAGAGAAATTTCTAAAGTAGTTGAATCAGAAAATATTCAAGCTCTGCATCCAAGAAGAAAGGCTAGAACTTTCTGTCCCACTATTGTAATATCTTGGCATAATTCTTACTTTTTTTTTCTTCTTATGGTAAATATAATACTTATTTTAACTGTTCCTAAGTGTATAATTCAGTGACGTGAAATACATTCACAATGTTATGTAATCAATCACCACTATCTATACCCAAAACTTCTTAATTCCCAACAAAAACTCAATTCTTATCAAACAATAACCCCCTATTCACCCCTCCTCCAGCCTCTGGTAACTTCTATTTTGCATCTCCATGAATCTGCCTATTCTAGGTATCTATCTCCCAAGTGGGATCTGACAGCATTTGTTCTTCTATGTCTGCCTCCTCTGAGTCGATATAATGTCTTAAAGGTTCATCCAAGAACCCATTCCTCATCAGGCTAAGATGCGATTGTACAAGAAAGTGTTGGCTTAGGGAGACTTTACCTATTGCAAAAAAGGGAAAGCCATTGATCTGTGTGAAAACACTTAAATACCACATCAAAAACAACATTCCAAAGTTAGAGGAATTTATTCCAATATGCATCAACTTTTTGATTTCATGGAAGGTGGTAAAAACAAGATAATAAAAGTAGAAAAAGTTGGTAGTGACTACAGAAAGTAAGACTGATTAAAAGAAATTCCATAAAATGAAATATATATGACATCTCATTTTATTCATGGTAAGAATTGGGGCTATTTTTCTTTGAGGTTGGTTTTTATTTGGATTGGTTATTTATTTATTTATTTATTTATTTGTATCCCTTTTCTAAAAATTGCTATTGTGTTTATTTGTTGGACACAGTAAAAGATAGTTTATACCCCAAACGTAAGAACACTTTTACCATAATACTCATAGTTTCGTCTCATAAACTGAAAAAATAAAGAGACATCAGAGTACTAAAATCTTACAGTTTGGCTCATTTTATATCAAAATGATAAAAGGTTCCCATCTAGCTTTCATCAGTCTGCCATTAGTGGCTGAATAAACATACTTTTATGTGTAGCACGCCAAACATGAACATTTTAGAGTTTAAAAAGTTTATAGTAAATATGTTTGTATATTATTAGGGCACTAGAAATATTGTGCCTGATTCCACTACCTCCAATCCCTCTTCCATTTTCATGTGAATTTTTTAACTTATTTTTTTTCCATGCTTGGGCTCAGATGTTTGGGAATTTCTAATTCTTTATAGGAAAGTGGTTCAAGCTGTTAGGGCGAAGTCCCAGCCCCAGCACTCACCGACCTTGTAACTACTGCATATTACTGAACTGCTCCGAGGTAATGGTTCCAGATTTACAATGAGAACATTAGCACCTACACTTCACAGGGTTATCGTGATGATTAAATGAGGTAACATAGGAAAAGCACCCAACAAGGACCCAGACACACTGAAGCCATTGTTTCTTCAAAAAATAACACTTTAGGAGTAGGATGTAGCTCAGTGGCATGCACAAGGCCCTTGGTTCAATCCCTAGCACCATAATAACAATAATAATACTTTAGCTATATCATCCCCAGCAAAGTAAGCAAGTCCTGTCCTGCTATCAATAGTTCTATCCTGACTATTGATAAACAGTCAATATCATGTTTCTAAATGCAAGAATAAAACAAGTCTAAGACAAACATAAACCTCACAAGTAGTCGATTAAATATATTCAAGTGTAAAGCTGACATGAGCAAGATGACTATAATTCTCTCACCTACAAAGACTCACTCAACTCCTAACAGACATGGTCCCAGTGCCCCATCACAAAGAAAAGGTAGAGCTGCCTGAATTCTGTTACAACTCCCTTTTTACTTATTTGGTATATTTCCAATAAACAGTCATTAGGGTCAAATACATTCCACTGTGAAGGAACTCTATGGCTCTGGCCAACTGCCATTTTGAATGATGGTCAACTAGGTATACAGTATGCAAAGATTAAATAAAATATTAATTATGTTTTTTTTAACCCAGCAGAGACATTGTCAGAAAAAATTATGGCTGTGGTTAGAGCATGCAATAGTATTATTTTAGAGAACATACACACTTATTATAGTTGCTGAGAGTATCAAAGTAAAGGACTCCAGTAAATCTAGTAATTACTGACTGATTGTGTTAATAAAATTAGCTCTTCTGGTCCAAAATCTTAACTGTTGCCTACTTTTG